TGTCGCTCACAATTCGTTTTAATGTAAAATGGTTTTAAAGTAAGGTTAGAAGCTAGAGAAGAAAATAGTAGGGGACTTCAAAAATTTTGTATGAAAATCCCATATCTCTCAATTCCATTTTCCCCGCATGGACCCAGAACTCCACCACTGTGATTCGAAGCTGGATGTCATTTTTGTGTTTTGCTTCCCAGATTACGTTTTCATGAAAGTGTACCTGGTCTCACAGTGATAAGTCAGACAACACGTGGAATTGTGTGGTTTGCTTTTTTTTCCTTTTGGTGTTGTATCTTCAGCATTTTTCCTCCTTGCGCATAGTCATGATAAAGAACAGTGCCTGTGTCGTAATTTAAGCTGGTCGTTCTCCTATTTGTAGACACATAGGCTTTATCTAGGCAGCTCCCCATTTCTCTGCTGTTACCCTGCAGTGTCCATCTCTGTACAGTAGAACTTCAAAGGTTGGGAGTTTGGGACGTTGTGCATTTGTATCCAAACCAGGAGCCAGAGCCTTGGGAATAAAATGGTCATTTGGGGAGGGAGGTGATTACCTGTTTTCTCCACTGTAAATCAAAACACTGCTGACTTTGAGTTTGTAGAAAGCAAACTTTAGTTTTTCAAAAAGATCAATGAGAAAGTGGGTGGTGACAGGATAAAACAGAAAAGGGGGGGTCTCCCTGCTGCGTCTGGGTTCTTTCCCACCATTGTTTGAAACCAAACTGTCACTGGAAAACAACTCTATCATGAGTGAGGCCGGGCAGGGGAGCAAACAGAGGCCTGGACCCAGACACCCGCAAGAAGGGTTTCCCTGGTAACGTAGCGGTTGCGCATTGGGCAGCTCACCCCGAGGTTAGCAGTTCTAAACCACCAATGACTCTGCGGGATAAAGAGGGGGTTTTCTATTCCTGTGGGGTCCCTGGTGGTGTAGTGGTTACGCTTTTGGCTGAGATCCGCATTGTCAGCATTTCAAACCCACCAGCAGCTCAGAGTTCTCGGAGAAAGCCTGGGCTCTCAACTCCCATAAACACTACGGTCTGGAAAACCCCTGGGGCCAGTGCTCCCCTGCCCTACGGGTCCCTGCCCATCAGAGCAAGCCAGACGGCCGTGAGTTGTTCGAGTTTTGTATTGGTGGATGCGACTCCTCTGGCCCAGGGTCTCTGTTTGCTCCCCTGCCTGATCTCTTCATTACCTGGAGGTGCTGATACGTAGGCACCGCGGGTCCTTGCATTCGATTTTCGGAGGGGAAAAGTGCATCCTGTGGATGACGGAAACTCAGCTGTACTTCCATTGGTGACTCCTGCCTAACGACTCTGCTAATTGCCTCCCACTGACTGGGTGCCTTTCATTGTCTGAACGTCTATTGAGCATTTTCCTTTAAAATGTCAGGACGGAGCGTGCACTTTGCGAGCCATCTCTCATGTCTTGCTGGGCAGGAAAGGCAACAGGAAAATGTCAGCCCTGGGATCTGATTGACCAGAGCAGAGGGAATCAGAACTGCCCGCCCCTCGCTGGTGGCTTTTAGAAATCATTAACATTTCGATGTGAGTGATCCTGCAGCCCTGCTGCCTCTCCACAGCCTTTTCCTGAACTCTTTAGCATCTTTTCGCCTTTTCACTGAATTACAAAGTTAGTAAGGGGAAAACCAATACGAAGCTTTTCCTTTCTTTCTTTTTAACTAGGTCCCGTTCAGTATAGTTGGGGAGGGCTTACACAAACAGAAATACGCACCACAGGATAAACTTTAGGTAAATGTGAGACACACATTAGTGTTGGCTTAGGAAAATGGGCGATACAGCGGTACAACTTGGGTCATTTCGGTGTGTCGGTCCTTCCGTAGGCACCTTGGTGACGCTGTGTGGGCCAAGTGTTGGCCTTCTAAAAGATGGGGTGGGGGGGGTTCAAGCCCACCCTTGGCTCTGAGGAAGAAAGATGTGGTTACCTGCACCCCAAGAGCCAGAATCGACTTGATGGGAGTGGGTTTTAGTGTTAAGGCCATCCTTAGAGTAGGCTGGAGAGGACCAGGCATGTGTCTTGGCCTCTTACAGATGTATGGCCTTTTGTGAGTGACTGATGCTCCAAGCGATTTGGGCTTGCCTGTGGGCAACCCCCACCCCAAGAACAAATCAAAACCCACTGCCAGTAAGTCGATTCTGACTCACAGTGACCCAATGGAGGCTTTTACAAGGCTGTAAAATGTTTATGGGAACAGATAGCCTCATCTTTTCCTCGTGGGACAGCTGATGGATTTGAACTGCTGAACCTGCAGTCAGCCATCCTGTGCTTAACTGACAGTGCCGCTGGAGCTCTAGAAAATGTTTATCAAACATTTATTTCCTTCTTTCTTAACTGGTAGTTTTATGTGGCCTTTATTCTCTCTCTTATGTGAATGAAGCCTGGTTTAAACACAGGCTCCTACGTTTGAAGGTAGCTATGGATGTACACCAGGCTCTGTGGTTTGGGGTGATTAACCTCGTGGTGTATCCATTTCTCCAACGGCAAAATGTGCTTTCAGTTAGAGCCCTGTCACGATAGCTCCATTTATAGTCCGCTCGTATTGTGTGACATCCTCCAAGAGCGGTTTTCAGCTACCTTTCCCTGCGCGTTACGCGGGATCGCCTGTGTGAAGCTCTCCGCATCTGCAGGCACTCTGATGATACCCAGTTTGGTGAGGCCTCTGGCTCCATTATTCTGGGTGGAAAGGGTGAAGAAGAACGATGGTTTGGGTTTACGTGGTCCGCGGGGGGTTTCTGGCTGAGCGAGTGTTGTGTCCTTTGGAAAGACAAAAGCAGGCTGTTTTTCTCGGTCCCTCTCTCTTGCCCTTCCCCTAACCCAGAACCATAAAACTAACCAGCAGCCACAGGATTCAGCAGAAGATTGACCATATATACTCGAGGATAAGCCGAGTTTTTCAGCATATTTTTATGCAGTTTTTGTGGTAAAATTAGGTGCCTCGGCTGATAGTTGGGTGGGCTTATACTCGAGTATATACGGTAGGTGATTGACAACACTGAAGAGCCGGGATCACAGATTCAAGAGGAGGCCTCTTATGAGGCTAAGGCTTTGAGATGACATTACTGGTCAGGCTTCCCCTCTAAACCATCACATCATCCTCACCTCTGTCTCTTAGTTTACCTTCCAGTTAGTCATTTCCCAGCCTACTCTGGGCCACCCTCTGTCACCTCCCTACTCCCCGACCTCCAAAAGTATTTCTGGATATGTGAGTGTCCTGAGTGTCCATCTAAGTGTGAGTTGGATGTGCGATTTTCCTTTCCCAGGCGGCTTGCTGGAGTGCATTGCTCACAGAGATGATGGATCAACCTTGCGTGCCGGGGTCTCTTTGGGCTGGAGTGGGAGGAGCAGGGGCATAGTGTGCCAACATTGACCTCTAAGCTTGTGGTTGGCAATAGCCTTCCCTCACCACCAGCTCTGGCCTCTCTTGCCCTAAGGAGCTTCCCCGGGGATGCCAGTGGGATCCCAAATGACCCTGTGCTTAAAGTGGTCGCCTGCTACGCCGAAGGGCGGTTGTTAAAAGGCACCGGCATCTCCATGGGAGCAAGATGGGACAGTCTGCTCTTAGGAAGGCTGACCGCCTTAGCAACCCCATGGCTGGGCC